TTGGCGTGAAAGAAATAATAGGTTACATTGATGACAGTTTTAATTTGTGTCGTTAATTGTTAGAGAAATTCTTTTCAATGTTACACGTAAAATTTTGCGATTTGTTTGATCAAAATCTTCCACCCGGCTCATGTGCATTGCTATGCAGTAAAGGCTAAAAGGATATTGTACAAAATACACTAGTCTAGCCGTAGGATAAAGAGTTTTCTTGGTTATAATCTTCCTACTAATTGTACCAGCTCAAACTATTCTATGAACAAATAGTAATTTACTGGAAAAATAAAATTTTACATTTTATTCAAAAAGGAAATCAATCATCTCTTATTTTATGAAATCAATCTCTTCATTAATTTTTTAGTCTAACAAAAATAATAAGTAACTTTTGATATCTAATGATAAGTTATACAATACAATAAAAATTGTAACTAATTTCTCAAATCACTTCTCTTCCTAAGTTTGAATTAAATATACATATATATATATATATATATATATACACACATGCATATACATACAAAACAAAACAAAACTTCATCAACTAAAAAGAGGGAATGCATTCTAGAAAAAAAAGTTGCATTGGATTCTAAAGCCCAAATCCTAAGGCCCAATCCAACCATAAACCGCTATTTTATTTTTATTACTTCCTTTCCGCAATAGGCCACTGGGTCCAGAAAAAATGTTCAGTTCGAATTCGGATTGCATTCTACCGGATCAACCGAATTCCATGGATTGTAAGGTTCGACTTTCAACTGGTGAATGTACAGTTAAGTCTGGTAATTAAGAATTGAACTAAACTTCACCTCAAAGAATGAACTGAAATGTTTGAGATAAGGGTGGTAGAAAAGAAAAGGACGTGAATGCATAAGAATAGGAGTTTTTGGGTTTAAATGAACATATTTTAAAAATTGAGGGCCCAAATTGCAAGAAGGAAGGTGTTATCTTGGAACCTAAGTGAATGAATATTGAGTTTTGGGATCCAAATGCTCAGCATGAAAATTTTTAAGGACCAGTTTTGCAATTTTACCATTGAAGAAATTGCAAAAGAGGACAGAAACCCGACACGGGTGTGGTGTCGACCCATAATTTTGGTGTCGACACCTTACGGCAAGCATTCAAAATCACAGTTTCTGTTCTTATTCTGTGGCGACAAAGTGCAGGCTAAAGTTTTTTAACAACTTGGAAGTGCTCTTGTGCTAATATATCAGAATGGACTGATCTTGTAAATTTATACCTTTCAAGTTAAAATATTTATGGGTTTGGGTACCTTTGTACTTCGTTTTTAATAAATATTACTTTTTGCTGTTAAAAAATAAAGAATGAACTGAAATGGAGATGGGTTATTTCTTTGAATAATCCTCCTGGCTGGATGGAGATGCTGTACTGCTATAAATCCACCTCCTAGTCTTCTACTACTGAACTGAAATTGAGGTGGCTTATTTCTTTGAATAATCCTCTTGGCTGGACAAAGATACTGTACTGTTATAAATCAACCTCCTAGTCTTCTACTATTGAACTCAAATTGAGATAGGACATCTCTTTGAATAATCCTCTAGAAGAGAGGATAGTTTGTAGACAATGTACCATTGAGAATCCTACATGGATGTGGTAAAATGCTTTTCTTTACTAGCATAGATGGCTAATCCTCTAGGAGATGGGGGATCATTTTCAAAATCATCTAGCAGAGATGGTTTGTGATAATATCTAATTTATCAACAACAAAGGGATGCCGTTAAAATTGAAAATACTTTTCATTACTAGGAGAGATGGATAGTGGAATCCATATGATGATTTCAACAATCGGGGATGTGGAAACATGCATAGGTTATTAGGTTTTGGAAATAATATCACCAAGGAGTAGGAGCTAATCTTCTGATTTGAATACCTCTCTTACCTCATAAGCTTTGGAGAAGAATTACCATAAATATTCTTCTTTCTAAATTGTTAAATTAGATGTAAGTTAAATTTATCAATCATTAAAGAATGAAAACCAGGATCTTTCAGAAAGAGAAATGGATTCCTATTCAAAGAGTACTCAATTGCATTTATTGAATAATTGGCCTTCTATATCTGTGTTAAGCTTTATTACTCACTTTCGTTTTTTGATGTGGCAGGGCTTTTCTTTACAATAGTTGGTGCCATTTTGTTAATTCCTGGGTTCTATTATACACGGATCGCATACCTTGCATACAAAGGATATAAAGGTTTCTCCTTCTCCAATATACCTTCCGTGTAGATGATGCCATTGCCAGATATTTTAGCTGTATTGCCTCTTCTGTACAGATGTTTCACTGAGTCTTGTACTTTTTTCATTTTCAATGTTATATTTTCCCTTCTAGTACGGAGAATAATGTCCGGTATCAGTCGTAGCATGCGATACTGATCCTCATGAACAAGGGGTTTGTTCACTTTGTCCACACCAGAGTCAGTATGAATTATGTTTCACCACAGACCCCCTAATGTTCTCGTGGTTGTTTAATATCAAACATTTAGTTTTTTACTCTCAATAGCTCGTATTTGGATTTGTTGTGCAGGTGTCTTTTTTTTTTTTTTTTCCTTTAAGGCAGATGAAGACTGTCTTATTTGAATAAAAATCATTGAAGCAAAAATGTCACGGTATGTAACAATTACCAAAAGAAGGTTACGCAAGTTTATTAGTCAAATGCTTTATGAATGATCAGATACTTAGCCACTAAGGGCGGAAAGGTGAAAAGTAAAAACTAAAAAGTGTAGGTAGATTTCTCCCTAAAATTAGTAATGAAGGAAATTGTCATTCAAAAAAAATTTGATGTAATTTGTCACTTTAAATTTTTACTTTTAAGAAATTAGATCAAATTTAAATGTTATCATTACATTTCTATTAGATTTCAAGAGTAAAAATCTAACAAACTTTCAACGGTAATCATTAAATTTAGATTCATTTTTCAAAAATAAAAATTTAAAGTGATAAATTGCATCAATATTTTTTTTTAGATAATGACTTGTTTTAATGTAATAATTTTGCAGGCATACTGCACATTTGTTGGCCTGGCGAAAATTGCGGTAATTGCATGATAATTAAAACCAAGGTATCATCATGTGGAAGTTGAAATTTGCCAAGCATCTTCACTAATCTTACTTTCAATAGTTTCTCTGTACCAAGTAATATTTGAATATTTTGTTGCTGTCTCTATCGAAGAACGAAGAAAGAAGAAAGTAAGATAAGAGGATAAGAAACGGGATGGAGACTTGTTAACAGGACAAGAGGCGGTATTCTTCTGTGGAAGGGATGTGTTACATGTGTTATCATTTCCTGCAGACGCAGACACATTGGCCAAACTCTTCTTTGGTATAATACTAGCTATTATGGACTTGTACAGCATAGTGGTGTAACAAATGCAAGGACAAGCTGGCTAGTGATATGGTTTGCAGTAACATGAACTATATATATATAGTTAGCGAGAAATGATGCAATTTTCAATGATAAGCAAGCTAACGTGGAGGATGGATTGGAATTAGTTCGAAGGAGATCTTATTTGTGGATTAGTGGGAACAAAAATGATTGGAATTTTTCATTCACTAATTGGTGCCAAGATCCAAATAGGTGCTTGATATTGTCAAAATTAAAGAAAGTGGGATAGCATGATTGTATAAAAATGAAAATTTTCTCTTTTAACAAAGAAAATGAATGGAGATGGATAAGAGTACTCCTTGTACTTTGAAAATAAAAAAGTATTTTTTTGGCTGTTCAAAAAAATGAAAAAGATAGAATGTTACATGGCAAGAACACTTGGCAGATAGTTTGGAGGACTTCATGTCAAAATTATTCTAATATCAAGTAATATTTTGACTAGAAATTAAGGGGCATCTGAGGCAAGTGCTCTGCATTTGAATGGCTATAACAACATAGCCTGACCTGATCATCGGCGAGCATTCCGGGACAAAGGCATGGAAAATTAAAACCAAAGATGAATAAACTATAGAAAAATGATGTGTGCACACTTAGATATGCGCACCCCACATAAAAAAAAAATGAAAAACACCCGGCTTATTATTTTTTTTTTATTTGAAGGGTGCACATCTAGGTGTTAGATCCGGATGTACACCAATCATGGTCCTAAACTATATCTTAAAGATATTTCAATAACCATCAATCGAAAAATATCTTTCGTCTGCGGAGATGGTATTGGAAGAAGTGCTATTAGTTAAACCACGAAGGGGAACAAGTTCGAACACAAGATTAGGTATATACACACAAAAAATGTAACCATTTGCTTTATTAGATAATTTACTCTTGACTCAAATTTAAAATCTTATGATTTCCAAATTCTTAAGATAAAATGATAATTAAGAAGCATAGTGACAAGTGTTCTTCCATTCTTCTTTTAAAAGAAATTAAAATTTTTACTTTTTTTTATTGATATATCAAATTATAAATCATATATAAAAAAATAATCATCTCTTTCTTTAATCCCTTCTAACCTATCTTAAAGTTTTAATTTGAAATATGTCAAATTCTTTACCACTTGAAATACTTCCTTCAAGTCAAAAATTAAAAAGTTTGATCTCTTATCTTCCATCTACAGGTTGAATGTTCAGCGAAATCCGAACGCTAGTGACGTGCTGTACCCACCATCTTAAAAATCGATGTGGACCTTCATAAACTAGAAATTGAAAACTACAGTCTTTTTTTACACATCAAAAAAAAAAAAGAAAAACCAATCTTTTGAGCCGAACAGTCAAGTTAAACAGTCAACAGGGCATCCCCATGCAGTGACATTTCAATGACACGTAGTCAACACGTTGCAAGATGTTAAAGCTATAAATGTTCAAATTGATTACACATGGAACCAGTTCGTCCCTACCCTGCGTCACTCCTCAGCTCTATAAATGGTACACGGTCTCAGCCCCTCAATCCATCAAAAAATCTTCATCCCTCCTACCTTCCAAAAAAATGGCTTCCCTTTCTATCAAAAAATCTCTACTAACCAGCCTTCTTGCCTGCGTTCTCTTTGCCTCAGTGCTCGGAAATGCAACGGCTCAGTCCGTAGCCAGCATTGTTACGCCCCAGTTCTTTGATGGCATCAAGAACAATGCTCCCGCAAATTGTGCTGGGAAGAGCTTTTACAGCCGGGATGCCTTCCTTAAGGCTCTCAGTTCCTTCCCTAACTTCGGAAAACGAGGCTCTGCTGATGACAACAAGCGCGAGATCGCTGCTTTCTTTGCCCAAGTCTCACATGAGACCGGATGTAAGTATTAACTAATTATTTTGATTCTTGAACTTAACTATTACCTAATAACTTAAACTTTTAAATTTAACTATCCTTTCTAACATTTTTTTATACATTAGGAGTTAACTATTTTGCATTACAAAAATTTAAATCTTTAATCTTTCTTTTAACATATAGTTTACAATCCCAATACTAATGCTCTTTTTTGTCAGCTTTCTGTTACACTGAAGAGATTGACAAGAGTAATACCTACTGCCAATCAAGTCCTGAGTACCCATGTGCTCCGGGCAAGTCCTACCATGGCCGAGGTCCGATCCAGCTAACCGGGAATGAGAACTACGGGAAAGCCGGGAAGGCTCTGGGCCTGAATTTGCTGAACAACCCTGAAATTGTGTCCACGGACCCCGTTGTGTCATTTAAGACAGCATTATGGTATTGGATGACCGCAGTACGTCCTGTGCTGGGGCAAGGGTTCGGTGCAACGACTCGTGCTATCAATGGTCCAGTTGAATGTAATGGAAAAAAACCGAATCTGGTTCAGGCCAGGGCTAATCTCTACACCAACTACTGTCGCCAGCTTAACGTTTCTCCAGGACCCAATCTCGTATGTTAGGTTACCACATATCCATGTACCAGAAAATAGAAATACTATTTTCCTAGAATAATGTTTGAGAGGCTTGTTGTGAGGCCTGAAATAAAATGAGATGTTTAATTATGATAAACATATTTGAGATTTCTAATAAAATGTTTCATTGATGAAAAAGAATAGTGTTTCGTTATAACACATTAAATGAAATCAATATCTTTTACTCTATGAAATCAATTTCTTGTTAACTTTTTGGTTTAACAAAAATAATATAAATTTTTTTTATTTACATCTAATGCTAAATTATATAATATAATAAAAATTATGATCCAGTTTTTCAAATCCCTTCTCTTCCGTTCTAAATTTGAATTTGTAAACTACAATTGCATAAGAAAATAATATGAATTGAACTTAATTTTTTTTGTTCAAAATCTCTCAAAATGAGCTTATAAAACAAAGGATTACTCAACTAAAAAAGAAGAAAAAGAAGAAGAAGAGAAAAAAAGAAGAGGGAATGCATTCCAGAAAAAAATTCCATTGGATTCTAAAGCTCAAATCCTAAGGCCCAATCCAACCATAAACAACTATTTTATTACTTCCTCCCCGTAATGGGCCACTGGGTCCAGAAAACATGTTCAGTTCGAATTCGGATCGTATTTCCGGGTCAGCCGAATTGCATGGATTGTACCCGACACAGCTGCCTTATAAATGCCACTTCCCCCTCCAACCCTCAACGTTTTCTTCTCTGTTCTTCCATCCAACTTTCAGTACGTCAGCTTTTCAAGTTTCCATTGCTTGGATTTCCATTCCAAATCAAGTTCATTCCCCCGTCTAGAGTGCTTCAGTTTAGTCGGGCTAACTTGAATCATATGAAAGTTTTCTGGGAACCAAATTTGGAGGAAGTAGAGTGAATTAGTCGAAACTTCACCTTGGGAGGACATTTTATTGATAACTTTTAGGGCCTTTTCATAAATCAAGTAACAAGGGTAATTAGCAGAGTTAAAGGGAGGATATGGCGCGCTGGAACTTTGAAGGTAAGGTCATTATTTTATTTAAATATGGTTCCTTTTTTCCTTGCTGAGGGCAAATTCTGAAGCTTCAGATGGTTTTGATTGGGCGGATTGACAATGATGATGATGATGAGTACGAAGATGAGGGTAGGGAAGGGAACCGGCTTTTGAGTTTTATGCTCGAGAATGTTGATGATGCCGGTGATCTTGACGTTGATTACCTTGATGAGGTAATGTTTATTGTTATACTTTGAAAAATTCACTAATCATTAAAGGCACGTATTTTATATTACGTATGCTCATATAGCCCCCACTTCTGCGTCCACACACATGCATAGTGCATTGCTGCTGCCTCCTGTTGAAAGATACATTTCTTCTATGGAAATTTTGCAATAAATGTCTGAAGTTGTTGGAAAGTATGGATATATAAGGTAGCACTACTGTACTAGCACTATAGCAGACAAAGTTAGGACAAATAAACGACACAAGGTGTTCTTTTTTCAGCTGATGCTGATTATAGGTATTATGATGGAGAGAGATCAAATGTCAATGTACTCACTTTTACCTAGCCACATTTCCAATTTTCACCTCTTGTTTGGCTGATGGTAAAGTTTGAAACTGGCAACTGAAGCAATTAGTGGTTAAGGGAGTACAGGCCTTTTTCCTTTCGAGTCTTGATGACATAGGATACGCTTGATGTCTCTTGATTACCTGATGCCTCTTGATTATCTGATGCAGTTTTATCTTTTGCTTTTGGTTGATAACTTTTTTTCACCATAATCATTTTTTTATGTGGCATATCAATTTTGATTGTTTGATAATTATCCAGTTAATTTTGTTGCATTGCTGCTAAGAATTATTTCTCTTGTCTTAGGATGGCAAGGAGCATGTTTATGAATTGGTTGGGAAGCTAGGTCCCTCTCTTACTGATATGGATGTAAGGAAATTATTCTCTCTTTCTTTATGGATTCCTCGGTAGAATTTATTAAGGGCAGTAGTGGGACTTGCTAATGGTTTTAATTTTTTCAGTTGTTGGTAAGACCACCACATAGTCCAGCTGATGCTGCCAATCAAGGTGATGTCTGCTGGGAAAATCGATCTCATGCAGTTTTTGATGTTATGTTAGTACCTTTGTTTCTTCAACCAATTGACTATACTCTTAATTTTACATAAAAGCATTCTTGTCAGAGGCATTAGTGACAATTTAATTGTTGGGAATGAGAAGAATTGACTACTTTGCCTTTTCTTTTTCCATCGTGTAGACTGTGGAATGGTAGCAAAGCAAAGTGGCTTTCAATATGTTCTTTCACCCTTAACAAAAACTAAGCTTAACCAAGCATTTGATATGACCTATGTTGTTAAAGCGCCATATGAAAAAGCATTAGGGAAAATGTTTGATCTAATTTTTCATGTAGAAGGTGTTCTAATTTTCCAGACTTTTGGTTATCTGTCTTATTTTCAAGTGAAGTGTTTTTATGAGTCTCTCAATTCTTTATATTGATCACAGTATGTATTCAATATATGTGTTTTGATGCCTTCTAGATGCCGTTGTTTCCTTGGCCAGTTCGGCAACTTTATATTTAAACTTCTATAAATATATTCCACAATTATGTCATTTTAATAAATACCTATTGAAAAAAATTAAAATATCTTTTTTTTAAAACATGAATTAGGGTGTTTTGTCTTTTTTTATAATATTTATTGAAACGATGTAATTTTGAAATAATTTTCCTCTTAATTTTTTGAAAGTAAGGTAAACAAACAGACAAACACTAACCCCTTTAATTATATATAAAACTATTATAATAACAAAATTTTCTTTAAAATATCTAAATAAATACTCATTGAACTTTTAAAAAATCCTTAATAAATACTCAATGAACTTTAAGAAAATCCTAAATAAATGACCAATGAGTTTTTAAAAAATCTTCAATAAATATCTAATGGGCTTAAAAAAAAACATATATCTATCAAAGAGTAGTTCAAATCTTCTAAAAAAATACAGTTCAATTTTCATTAAGTTTTAGAAAGTTGATGAAAATTAATATAAAATAGAAAATAAGTCTAATGATAGACAATTCAATTTTAATTGCATCATATAAAATAACATAAAATACATAGGGTAGATGTAGAAAACAAAATAAAATGCTATACATATAAAGCCCAAAAAAGTGTGAGACCCATACTTAATTCATATAATGTAGTAACTATCTAATTAAATTTTGAATACAATTTAGTATTCTCTAATTAAAGGGGTATATCAGCAGAAGAGGTGAAACAAGCAATATGGGAATGTGGAGGGGACAAGTCTCCAAGTCCTGATGGGTTCAGCTTCCATCTTATTAGATCAATGTGGAGTGTGGTTGAGAAAGATATTGTTGATTTTGCTCAAGAATTCTCTAGTAATGGCAAGTTGGTAAGGGGGCTAAACTCCTCATTTATTGTCCTTGTCCCAAAAAAAGACAACCCTATTGACCTAAAAGATTACAGACCTATCAGTTTGATAGGTTGTCTCTATAAGATTATATCCAAGGTGCTGGCAAACAGGATAAAGATAGTCCTATCTAAGGTGATTAGTGGAAAACACAATCTGCATTCTTGAGAGGAAGACAAATCACTGATGGAATCTTGGTCCTTAATGAAGTGGTAGAGGAAATCAAGAGGAAAAAGGTTAGCAGTTTCATATTTAAAGCAAACTTCAAGAAGGCATATGATTGTGTAAATTGGGGTTTTTTAGATGAAATGATGTGGAGGCTTGGATTTGGTGAAAAATGGAGGATGTGGATAAAGGAGTGCCTGCAAACTGCTTCAGTCTCGATCCTTGTAAACGAAAGTCCAACAGATGAGTTCAAAATGGAGAGAAGGATAAGACAAGGTGATCTGATTGCTTCGCTCCTCTTCCTAATTATTGTAGAAGGCTTAAATGTGTTGATTGAATCAACTATTAGGAAGGAATTATTCCGAGGAGTTGATATAGGTCCCTTTGGACTTAAAATATCTCACCTCGAGTTCGCAGATGATATTGTTATTATGGGGAAGGCTGATCCTACAAATATTAAAGCTGTGAATGGGATATTGAGATGGTTTGAGATGGTGTCAAGTTTGAAGATCAACTTTAACAAAAGTTTTTTATACTCTTTTTATGTTACTGATGAGTGGAGGAGAACGGTGGCTGCTACTCTTAATTGTAAATCAGGCTCTGTCCCATTCACTTATCTCGGGATGCCAGTTGGGGATACCATGTGTAGAAGGAAAGCTTGGAGTCCAATTATTGACAATTTTAATAAAAAGCTGGTAGTCTGGAAAGCGAAATGCCTGTCGATTGGTGATCGAGTTACGTTGCTGAGGTCCGTTCTCTTTGCTCTCCCCATTTACTTTATGTCTGTTTTTAAAATTCCTAAAATTGTGCTTCATGAACTTGTGTGCTTGCAAAGGAAACTCTTGTGGGGATACATGGAGGAAAAGAGTAGGCTAGCATGGTTGAGTTGGGAGAAAGTGTGTAGGAGGAGAAATGAGGGAGGTTTAGGCATACCAAACCTTGAGTGTAGGAACATAGCTTTACTAGGGAAATGGTGGGATAGATTCGAGAATGAGGAAAGTAGTGTTTGGAAGAAAGTTATTGTTGATAAGTATTATGGTGGAGACACAGCATGGGATATTGAACAAGTACAAAATAGGAATATCTCTACTCTTTGGAGGAACATTGTGGCCTTAGGAAATGATGGGAGTGAAGGGTCATGGATATTTAAAGATGGTTTTTGCTTGAAGTTGGGGATGGGTGACAAAATTAAATTTTGGCTAGACAAATGGGTAGGAACAGAACCTTTGAACGTCACTTATCCTTGATTATTTAATTTAGCATCTAATAGGACTGTTAATGTTATGGAAGTGGGA